TTAAGAGACATTTCTATCAACACAGATCATCACAATTATGTGATACACACATATAATGTCAATGACATACCTCAACTGGAAGTTTACCTAAGAATTTTGTCTTCATCAGTTATATCAGGTGATATAATTCTAAGCTTTTAAGCATGTACATTGGTTAGGCTACAAGGACTTTGAAAGAAATAATACAATGTTATCTTTAGTGAAATACCATGACCAAAGAACACTATCAAATTTTAGACTAACAAGTAAAAATGGAGATAGTCTAATTATTTTAACATATCTCCTTTCAATCTTATGTACTATGCCAAATAAAAATGATCACTTCTGAAATGAGACACACTTATTATTTTGTTAATTTTTAATTATAATTGTATTTATGATGTAAACTAAATGAAAAATGTACTTTAGTAATACTTAGTTAAAAGAAAACACTTCAATAAGCACCTCAGAACTAAAATATCATAAAAAAGACATTATGTAGGAAAGTGAATGCCAAGATATATTCTCTCTTATCCTCTTAGAAATTATGTCAATAAAGGCAAGAATTTTCAAATGCAGTCAGATTTAAGAAGGATCCAAGAATTTGAATATTGTGCAACTTAAATTTTTTTGAACAAAAAACTGGCTTTTTCTTGCAAGCCAAGCAGCCATCAAAAATTTATTTTCACAATCACCAGAGGGCGCCAGTGCCTACAGCATGGTTGATGAAGGTGTAAGTTAACCTTCAGGTGATATTTGGACTTGGATGTGGCCAAGCTAAAAAATGCCTTAAAAAGAAAATTGATAAGTTCTTCTAATGATATATATTTAAATTCTGTAACATATAAATGATGTTGGACTGTTAGACAAAAAAGAGTTCACTGGCCTATTTCTGGGTAAGATGAATTTAACAGGATTTTATTAATATTTCTGAATCAGGAGTTAAATGGATAACACTTTTAATGATGAATGAAAAGAGCATTACTGAAACCATTAACACTAACAATTCATTTAGCACCATATATTTAGCACCAGAATTGATATTGCTAGTTCACACTTAATAAAAACTTTAACTAAAAAGAAACCTCAAAATTGTAGCAAGGATATGGTGGTTACAACAGATTTTCAGCACCATTAATGAGTGAATTGTTAAACTTTCTAAGTTTTTGATTGACTTCTCATGAGTCAAAATTATATCATGACATAAATTTAAAAAGTCATTTTGCATGGGTTTAAATATGCCTTCCCCCACACATATAATGACAATACAAAAAAATAATATATATATATATATAAAGTCAAATATACTGTTATACATTGATAGAAATCTAACTTTACTCTCCCTAAACACTTTCGTAGGTAAAAGCTTCCATTTATGTCTAGATTTGCATCCAATAATACTGAGGAACATAAGGAATGATGTTGTACAAGGGGGAGAACATATACCACAGGCTAAGCATTCCTTTCTTTCCTGGACACATTCAAATAGTATGTTTAGCTTATGTATTCATTTCATAAGCGTTTCACAGAACACTTCAACTGGCCTCATGTGTATTAGATTTGCTTAGGTAGAAGTTATAAGTTGATTTAACACATGTGTCAATGAGAAAAATGCATATTGTTTCAATTCAAATAGTCAGAGTAGGTTGCATTAGGTGAACTTGCCTTAGTGTTTGGTCAGCTCTGTGCTGAAGCTGCACAGAGCTTCCAAAGGAACGTTTCCACAAAGGTTTCAAGGGAACTAAAGGCTCGGCTGCCAAGCAAAGCCGGTAGGGAAACCCTGGACCACAGAAGTCCCGATGCTTTGGGTACTGAACAGAAGCAAAATGATAATAATAAAAATTGTTTCCACCACATTTGCAAAGCAAACTTATCTGTCATCACCAGGGACATTAAGACAGTGCCTACACAAGTCATCAAATACAATTCTATAAAGAAATCCATCAGACTAACTACCAAAATTGTCATTTTTTTTTCAGTCATCTGATGACATGGAAGCCAAAAAAAAAAAAAATCTATGCTGTGACAGAAATTTTTTACTCTTTTACTCAAAAAAGGGTGATAAAAATCTATACCATAGAGGATCAGTAAAATATGTAGAATATGTAGGATGTAGAATATGTAGGATGCAATTTCTTTGTAATGAAATCTTTTGAAATGAAAACCTCAATATTGACTGTTTAAAGCTGCTCTTAAGAAGTATCTTCTACCCAGACCCTTTCTGCCCCTGGGAATTACAGCGAGAAATATCTCTCCTAGCACCATGGTTGAATGCTGTGAAAAATATGACACACGGTGTTGATATCAGCAAATTTTCATTTGCTTTAGCCTGGAAAATAAAACATTTCACATGGCTCCTTTATATTACTAACTTTAAAAAGTACACATAGCATAACAAAAATACCCGTTATGTTTTCAGCTGAGTTGTTAAATTATAAATAAATGTCTAGCGTTAGTTATGGTTTGGAAAGGACTGTGGTGTGAGTTATACATGCATAGGCCCTAGTCTTCATCTGGTATGTTTGACGATTTATCTGGATTTTTGATGCATTAAAAGCTTTGTATTTAAAACATTTTTTCCAATAAAACATGGAAAGGTGGAACTCCTTTAAACTGTTGCAATTCTAGACTTTTTAGTTAATTCTAAAAATATATTCATAGACACATTTATTAAGCACTTACTGCATTACAGCCACTATATAAGAAGCTGGGATGAATACAAAGAATCAGACAAAATTTCTGCCAAAGAGAAGCTCAAAAGACTTAATTTTAATCCCAAATAAGTTTCATAACATTAATGATGCTTTTCATATTCATAAATTTCTATTACTATAGTAATTTTAGCCTCATAGGAACCTCTGTGAAATGTGTAGCAAATATCATTATTCTTTTTCAGAACTGAGAAACCGAGCTACACAAGTAATCCAGCAACAGAACTGGAATTAAAAACAGTCATCTTTGTTTAATAGCACTTTTGCTTCTTCTGTAGAACTAATACAGGAAAATGAAGGATGGAAATACTTTGTAGATAAATCAAGTAAACATCGCACTAATTAGCTTTCGCTCCGATTGCTCTTAGTTAGATAAAAGTTAGACCAGGGGTTGAATCTTATGACTATTTCTTTTCTCCATTTTAGTCTCCAAACATATTTATTTTTAATAAAGTCTATATATGTGCTCACAAAAACAAGAGTAGTATGATATCAAAACATTTGGTCGCCACATTCAATTTGTAAAAGGAATCAGGCCAATTGTTTGTCATCCTGTAAACCTAAACTCCAGATGGTGGATTTTCCCCTCATTGAATGGATTTAATTAACTGTCATCTTTCAGTGCATCCACCCTAAGAAACTGCAAATGTGCAGAGAATTTTAAACAAGTAGCTTCCTTCTGTTATTTGCACTCTGGAACGAACCCTGTTTGCTCATTCTGTAACTCTATGGAAGCATTACATAACTTGAATCTCTCTTTCTCTCCTTGTCTTTCTCAGTCACATACCATCCCCCAAAGAAATGCAGTATAAGTGTCTTGACCCAGATGTTGAATTTTTCTCTCTACAGCGATTTCCTGAATTAGGAAACACAGCATTTCCAAAATCACATGAGTGAAATTTTCATAGTGATTTTGATTGGACTTCCGCAATGGAGAACTGAAAATTGTTCTTCCACAGAGACATAGAAATAAGATTTGGTAAGTAATCCTTACTGAACCGTCTGAAGAGGTTTGCTTTCGCAAAGCCATAACTGTGGTATACGTGCAGCATCTTTAAGGTGATGCTCAGAGGCTCATAGTGATTGGATTGATTCTCACTAAATAATGACATGAAGAGACAGAAGTGTCCTGGCATCTCCAGTTGTGGTTTTTTTTTTTTTTCCTGGCATCCTTTACCCTCTGCTGACAGGCCTCAAGATATACTAGACTCTCAGGATAGGCCCTTTTGAAACTCTCTGCTTGTATATTTCTGTGACTTTTCATACCTGTCTCCTAAATCTTAATTCTCTTGGGCCTTCTCAGAAGTTTTTTAGTGTTTTGCTTTCTGTCTTCCAAAGTCACGCTACTTACTCTAATACAGTAATCCCTGGGAAGTCAATTCTTTTCCTGCTTCTTTTAGTTCCAAGCACTGTAGCTACATTTTCATGCCTGTCAGAAGCCTTACATATTATATAGTGTATCTTACCACCTGTTTCCCCTACAGGTGAATATGGTGGCATCTACTTCCTCAAACTTACATTAAAATCATTTTTTTGAAAAAACTGTAATTTTACATCAAAATCATTAAACTGCATTATTTTCTGAATATTTTGTGAGCTTCTTGAAGGCAGGAACTGTATCTCATTATCTTTGCATTATCAAAACATAATGAGCAGAGTGCCTTGCACACAGTAAGCACTCAACACATGATTACTGATTCAGTAAAAGACATTCAACAAAAGTCATAATTTGACACTTACATAAGTTGAGCATATCCTTTGGTGAACTCAAATAAGACAAAATATACCTCCAGCATAAAATCTTGGGTGATCAATTAAATTATTATATCCAGATATCACAGAGTATTATTTGCAGTTTATCACTTTGTAGGTATTATAGAAATGGGCACTGAAGATGTCTCACCACCTCATATATATTTCAGGATAGTATTTTTAAAGATTCCTCTCAAGTTAACTACTGAATCACATTATTGTCTGCATTACCTCATCTATTATGTGTGTGTGCATGTATATAAATATACATATATGTGTATATGTATCTACATACACACATATATTATAGGCAAATATATATTTTATTCCTTACAAACATAACATATTTCCTTTGGAAAGCAAGTTTTGGGATTGGATGCATCAACTATGTCAATACTACATCTACAATATTTTAATTTGGGCTTAGAGGTCAGAAGATAGAAATGGATGTTTTGATTACCTCAAGATGAAACAAACATACTAGACAAACATGAATTTATACAATGAATAATAAAAGGAAAACAAGACTATTATAAAATATGTATAATATGTGCAAAACTCAATATATATATATGCCTATTCCCAGAAACCATTCCATTTCCTGAAGGAAAAGATATGCTTATTTAAACCAGTATAGGTAGTTTGATGTTACTCCTGGAAAGCAAAGATTGTCAGTACAAGATCCTCCATAACTTGGAGGGCAAGCTGAACATGGTACCCCTACTTTATATGGTGCTTCTCCAATCCAGTTGCCCCTAGAAAGAAGAAAAACAAGCATATAAGTGCTACATTAACACCCATTTAAAACAATTTGCTTGTCCTTAAGCACATGACCACATGTATTGACATGTAATGATCTTTTTTGAGAAGCTGAATCAGTTTAGGAAGGCACTGAAAATTATATCAATTTCTTATTTATACAGTAACTTATTATTCTCTCAATCTTAGTTTTTAAATCTTCTCTCTGCAAAAGTTAATATTATCTTAATTTACAGATTAGATGTAAAGCACTACAATGAATGGTGACATAATTAGACTTCTGAGACCAGGCTTGATGCTTATTCAATCACCACATCTGTCTCTGTCCTACAGCCAACTACCTTCTAGAGCACATTGGCAGGACACACTCCCATTTTTAAAACTCCTGGTAATGCTAAGGATGGTAATATATACATGTACTTAGTATTTTCTGAGAGGCTTAGAAATGATGAAGTGAGAAAGAAGTTGTTATAACACAAAAAATAGGGGTTCACAAAATGTGTTTCTAAAGTTGTAAAACATTTTAAGTTCTCGATATTTATAAAATGAGATTCAGATCCATTCTCATGGTAAGAGACTAAGGGCTCAGAGAAGCAATTAAAGGTGATTTCAAAACCTTTCATCATGTGTAAAATAGCTTTCATTCTTAGTAATACCATTTGTTTTTCGATAAGGCTAAACATTAAATTATTTGTGTTATCAATATTTTTATCTGTACTGATAGCCATGATAATAGTAATACATTAAAGTCATCACTCATGATAGTTAAAAATAGCCATAATGCCTTACTGTTCATTTATGAAGAAAGTGGTAGATTTATTTTCAGTAGCATGGTGATTAGTACCTAGAGTACTAAGAAATAGCAACAGAGCCAGCAATTTGAAGGAAATTGAATGATCAGGAGAAAATTTGGTTGTCAATAGTAAAAATCAGGGTTGAAGATAAGACAACAGTAGGTTGGAGGTTAAAATATGAAACAGGTGGTTCTCATCTTCATTAAGACCTAAAAAAAACCAAGTAATGACTCTTAAAGTGTACCTACATAAAATATCTGCTGCAATTAGTCATTTAAAAACTATAAAAAATATTTATAGAGGAAAATTAATCTATAAAAATAAAAATGTGGTGATTAGCTATTCATATTACAGAATATCAACAGATTCCAGTCCACCTCTATTTAGTTCTTTCTATACTCTACCCTCTGGTTAAGCTTCCTCAAATATAATTTGGTAATGTCACATTCTTATCCAGAAACACTCAAGAAGCCTCATGTTCTTATGAGTGTAGCTCACCCCTCTATCCTAATCTCTCCTATTCTGTATTCATAATCTTATTTCCCTCTGTATCGTTATCCAAAGCATAAGCGTATTTGGGCCCAGCCTATGCTATTTTGATTTCATATCTTTCTCTTCATTACACATGCTTTTTGGAAATTATATAGCACATATTTTTGGTAACATAAACTTCAAAATGTAAATTTATTGCATGTAAAAAGTATTACATATTACACCACAAGCTTTTACATAAATCACAGATTTTTACTAAATAGAGGATAATTATATTCAATAGTAAATCAGTCTACTAATAAACTTATATTATTCATCCTTTTATTTTTTGTCCTTCTTCCATCTAATTAAAATCTCCCTCCCTGTCTCCTTCTCTCACTCCACCTCAGTCTTTTTTTCTCTCTCTCTCTCTTTCCCCCCATCCCCCCAAAAAGGCTTGAGATAACTTTATATTGACATTGGAAAATTCACACTCAAATATCAGTCAGGGATTTACAACTTTCTTTGTTTTCTAGGCTTCAAAATAATGGTTCTTGTTTACAACAAATAAAGCATATTAACACAATATCTTAATCTCTTGTACACATAAAACATTCAGATATCTCATCAATAATATTAGAAAACTCTAAAAAACAAACAGCCAAACAATTGAAACACAAATCTCTTTTACCATATGAGTACTACTTGACCTATTTATGTCAAGAAAAAGGATAAAGTCTTAAAAGGAAAATATAAAGTGTGAAACTGAAAATATCAAGCAAATGCACAATTTTAATGCTTTTGGTAATGCAGACACATTTTACTTTCCAAACCCTATTATTCTAATAATTATGAAGGGGGACCATGGGGAAAATCACTATTTTTCTAACTTTGCAAGAACACTGCCACTGGCATACTACCATATTAATGAGTAATGCAGTTATTTGTGAAACGTTTTCTCATTCCCTCCCCATATTGGCAAAGCTGGAAAAAATCTTTGTTTGGGACTTACTTTGGAAGACACCAAGAATGTCATAAATCCTTTGCACATTTTGGTATTTACTCCAAATGGAAACAGACTCATGTATAAATGCTGGAACATTTTATCATCTGAAGAATTATTGTTATCAAGAAGGCATTTTATCAAATACTAACAAAGTCTTATTTATTTTCATCTTATAAAGAATATTTATAAATATGACTATATTTTATAATCCTTGATCAATTTCACAATACATTTTTATGTACTCCATAAGATAGAACTAATGAAAAACTTTTAACTTTCAATACTGAAACTTAAATCATGACAAAGCTTTAATTTAAAAAGAAGCCATAGCATTTAAATTCTCCCTTCAGGTAATAAATGACACGTTAGACATCTAGGAAATTAGTAAACCGTAACTTTTAGTTTTATTCTTAAAAGAAAGAAGGAAGAAGGGCTTTGTTTTGCTTTCCCAGGTTAAAAAAAAAATAAGTCAATATTCTAGTACTGATAGATGGGAATATTGCAGTGTTGATAAATTCCCTACAAGATTCTTTTCTGATAACTTTTATAGAGCTATCAAAAGCCTGAAAGTACAGTGTTTATTTTACAGTTATCATGACTAAAAAAAGGTGGTGGAGGGAATTTAGTGAATCTCCATATCCTAAATTACTTTGCCTACAATTTACCCCCACATACCTGTCTTTGTGAAAAACAACCATTCATCTCATTATTTTTCAGATATACGGGGGTGATGGGAGATTTGAGAATTAGAGGGTATTGTATTTAAGTCTTATTCGTATTAAGATAATTATCTGACTAGAGATATTTAACCTCATTAAAGGTCCCAGGAAGTAGAATCCAGTCTAGTACTCACTTTGGGGCATAGTTGCATACCAGGTAAACTGCACGTCGCCATACAGCTCCCCAAACATTCATGTTTTGGCAAGTATGAATTGCACATCCTATCCGATTGGAGGTGGCCCAGACCATCTGCAAAAATAAACCAATATATCATTATTGAAGTTGAAGCTAAGAAAAGGCATACTCCCCAAAATAGCAAGAGCATTTTTAAACTATGAATCAAAACAAGACAATTGAAATAACCTGTGTATAATGTGTGCACATGGGGCCAAAACACCTCATAGGACATCTGGGGTTGCAATCCTGAGGATATGGAAAAGCATAATCTTTCACTTCATCATACCATGGCTTGACAAGCTGGAGAATAGAGCGATATCTAGATATCAAGAAAAACAATGAGAACTTAGAATACAGTAGTGTTAGTATATAGTGAGCTCATGTTGAATTATTAGTTAATTGTTCTTCTTGCTAATTATTCATGCTTAATGAAAAGGAATTCCATGCCTCGCAATTACCATCACCACCTAGCAGAATCCTCTATTCCTACAAGTAGGACCAAGCATGAAAAGACCCAGTACCAAAGCAGTTGAGCCTATATTCATTTAAGTGTATGCTTGATTGTTTCAAAGAAAGAAACACAAATATTTCAAGAATCTTCATCTTTATCTTGTTTTATCTATGTCAAAAATTTCTCCCACCAGAATCATGTATACAATTAAAAGTTAGATATACAAATTTAGTTATGATACTAGAACTCAGTGTGTTTTTTCCCTTAAACTTGAATTACTTTAATTGTAATAATAGCACACCTGATATAGAAGAGAATGGGTCTTTGGAATGTTGGATGATGACATTCCACAATGGTGGAAAAGTTATTCTATCATTGGGGATAGCCTTTCTCATAGCTGCACATAGTTGTGTGTGTGTGTGTGTATACATACATAGGTAAATATACATATTTTGTATAACACACACAGGCATATATATACAGATATATACAATCGTGGGAAAGTTGCACACACAAATGGCTTCTGCCACAGTCAAAACTTTTCTTGAGGATATAGTATATAGCACACACCTAATCCTTTCAAAGACTGTGTGAGGTAAGTGAAGAATACAGCTAAGAAATAGTGTTCCAAAGGCGAAAGAGGAAACTGGTCTCAGTAGGCCCTTTTAACCAATTAAATAATCCCTGAAGACATCTGAAACAGTCCTAGACGAGGCATCATTGCCTGACACGTAATGAGCATTCAATAAATATTTGTTGATATTACTTGAAATTGGTGTCACCCCCCTTGGGATGCATAAGTAATGTAATAAACCATATGGATGAACAGTATCAGTGAAACTGTTTCCTACCTTCCAGTTCGTACCGACAGATTTTGGCCCAAAAATCGCAGTAAGTAAGAAGGTCCATGGTCCCAAATGCAAGTAGCTGCCCAAGCCTCTGCAGATTTTGCAAGATTTTCATCCCAAACCTGTGAAGGGGAAAAAAATCTTCCACTTTAACAGCTTTGCTAGTAACTGAGAAAAAGTAAAAAGAAGAAATGGTACTATTTCCTAAAGTCTTTTCAATTCTGGTTCTTTAGACTATTTTAAACAAAAAGAAGTAAATTAAGACCACTGATATTCAAATTCTACAATGCAATATGATTATATCATGGTGTTATCCAAAGCCTAAGTCCAAACATCAGTTTTAGTAAAGGATAGGTGAACAAAAATACCCTATCAGCTTGTCATGTGGACACTTCATACTGACTACTGAAATTTTAATCTACCACAGTCCATTGATTTTCCTAGAGGTCATCTGCTCAGCAATAGAGTCATGTTATTAATATATCTTAAAAAACTAATATCATCAAATTATTTATTCAAATCAATTTATCAAAATTAACAATGTCTAATATTATACTGTAATTTTTAATGGTCAAATTATATTATGGTATAATAATTCTCAAGGAGCCTTCATATTTTATATCATTTGAATCTTTGATAGTAGTAATAATACAATAATATGAGAAGTAAATTTTAGTTGTTATGAAATGGAAACAAACTATGATAAAAATAATTTGACTATGCTATGTAGGACTGCTATGAAAATATAGTATATTATAATCCAATTAAATAAATTAAGAAAAAAAGTAATTATTCACAAAAAAGAAAGGTGTTTAAATTGATAATGAGGGTGTTATTGACATATAACTTATTCTTTGAAAAGAATTGTGGGATAAAATTTAAATGAGCCTTAGATTCAATATACATTTATATTAGTTACCATATAAATTGACATTTTTATCTTTAAAGCTGTATGGGGAAATTAAGCCAAGAATCTGTGGACCTGCCAATGATAACAACTCTAAAATGATAATAGATATCTTTGTGAGAGAGTGTGTGCACACGAGTGGGGAAGGAGCAGAGAGGAAGAGAGAGAATCTTAGCTGACTCCTTTTCTAGCAAGGAACCCAACATGGGGCTCATCTCACCAACATGAGATCATGACCTGAGCCGAAATCAAGAGGCTGTGGCTCGCTCTTAATTTCGGCTCAGGTCATGATCTCACAGTTCCGAGATGGAGCCCTGTGTCAGTCTCTGCAATGGGAGCGGGAAGCCTTCTTGGGATTCTCTCACTCTCTGCCCCTCCCCCACTGACACTTACCCTTTTGCATGCTCTCTCTCTAAAATAAATAAGCTTAAAATAATAATAAATCAAAGAGTTGGACACTCAACCAACTGAGCCACACAGTCACCCCTAAAATGGTAATCTGTTTTATAACAAGTTACAAGGTACAAAAACAGAAAATAGAGAATATTTGTAATTCTTGTAAATCAGTATAGAAAAAAATACTTTCAAAAATTCTCCCTAGTGAAAATGTAATTTAGTGAAGTATTTTTCTTTTGTAATGAATGATTTTAATTGAATTTTAGTTTGTATCATGACATTATTTCCTAAATCATTTCAATATTTACATATTATTCCATCTGAAAAAAAGTTATTCAAATTGTGACTAGCCAATGTTTAGTAGTATATTTTAGAAGGTTAGAACTTACACGAAAAGTGACAATTTTATAATTACTTAAATTCACATGGAGCTCTCCATATGAAAGTGTATCGATGTCCTACAGATCGTTGTGCTCCTATTTTTCATAATCGCCTTTATTTTATCATTCTTTTGGTGACTTTCTCCTCTATCAGGTTGTATGGAGCTAAGCAAGACTCCCCTACCTTAGGGTTGATGGCCATGAGTTCACTGAGTTATAAAGCTTTCAAGCAAACTCATGAACGTGCTAAACCTATAACACTGAAAGCTTTAATTTTCCACAAGGATAACAGGATACGTATATTTATTTAATATAATAATGTATTGAAGTGAAGAGAAACTATTTTAGTGACTTTGAAATAAAACAGGCAAAAATCAAAATAATAGATGAACTCTTCCAGAGATACTTCTGTCCCATGAGGCCATGGCAGCCACCTTCAACAGAAATTTGTCGGTTACTCAGAAGATGTTTTAAATTAGGAAAATGAAGCCATCTTACATAAAGTCATTCAGAATTACATTAAAATAAAATCAGAATTATTTAAGAAGGGTCTGGAGTAGTTCTATGGTGACAGCAGCCACATCTCCTTTGTCCATCCATATAAAGGAAAGATTACTGAAGGAGTTATAGCAGGACACACTTTCCTCACTTATCCACAATACAACTGAAATGTGGCAAAACATTACCTAATGCCATTTAATCAGTAAGTATTCAATGTTAAATATATCCAAAAAATGGAAAACACTTTCTAACATAAGAGATTTTGCACTACTGTTTTCAGTTACTTAGCTAAGACATAAATTTTATAAATTATTACTTCAAACTTCTCCTTTGTTTTTTCTGTAAAAATCTGGGCAAAGTGTGTCAGCAACTTGAAATACATTTATAATGAAAGTCTTAATATCCCAAGACTGAAATAAACTTTAAAAGCATTTGTTTGGCTCATACTGGATTCATCTAGTATTTATTCTTTTCATGTTTTTTCAATGAAATATGGATTACAGTTCACCGAAGTACACAGTGACACAATTAATTTACAAAGAAATTCCATATGGAATAGCACCAAAAACTAATGTCCCCTGATGGGTTCTTAATTAATTGTAATCACTTGGGAAAACAATGTATCTAAATACTTTGTACATGTTGAACTACAGTGAGTACTCAGATCATTAACTGCTAAAAACACTTAATTATAGTCTTGTCCTAAAATACCAGCATAGCATGGCACAAATAACACTGACCTGAAAATCAAATATCTTTTGTTCTAATCCCAATTCTACTGTTAAGATCATCTGAAGACATATCAATTATCCTTTCTCCCACTTAACTCATTTATGAAATAAATTTGGATGGGGTCATTTCTAGGGTTCCTTTCATCTTCTCTTCTCATAATTTAATATACCTGAGTAGCCTCAGCTTCAAAGTGGCCTACCACTTGCTCAATTCTAGCCTTTCCCATTACACAGAGAGAATAAAACTAGATTCCTTTCAAAATAATTAAAAATATTTAAGGCTGTTAGAAATTGAAAAGTAATTTAGAGTATATAATTGTCTTCATGCTCATTAATATAGTTTAAAACTTAAAACTGTGTATGTCAAAAAGATAAACCAAAAAGTCGTGCCTGAAAAATATATTATATGAACATACTTTATTAAACATGATAAGGAATTTTGGTAAGAAGATAATGTATACAGCATTACTGATGTCTACATTTTTATGCATGAGTTTCTATGTACAAATATGCCAATGAAAATTTTGAGGAATATAGTTAATGGAGGAAAAGGGATAATCTTTTCTTTCTCTCTGTGTGTTTAGTTTTAGGGAACTGATGGGAGGGATTTCTACCTGCCTCTATATTCCTGAAGGAAGATGCTGGAGGGCCTCTTGGGCATGGGTTAAGTCCCTACAGAAAGCTGGTCATTTTGACTCCCTGTGGGAGACATGGTCGACTGTCTCTTTGATACCTACTGCAAGGGAAGTCAAAGGTGCTATATACTCTTTCTTGCCTCTTTGTCCTCAGGCACGCACAGCCATCCTGTAGAGAAGGGGAAGATCCAACTCTGGTAGGGAGCTCTGAAATTTAGGAATTACATCATTCCCTACTGTAAAGTTAAGATCTGCAATTACTATCTGTCTTTCTCCATTGGTTACAAATTCCAGGAGAAAATGGGTATATTATTTATCCCCTTAATATCCAGTGGCAATTAATTTGTTATTATGATGAGAGGTCTGTGAGGTTTGAAAATAGCAAGCAATGATAACTTTATTTAATAATAATAGGAAATTTCAACAAAAAGTTGGGGAATGATCCAATATGATCTATTTTTTCCTATCCAGGAACTCTAAATTGCAATGAATGTGCCCCAGAATAACCATGTGAAAGAAACAAAAGTTCAGGAAATGAAGTTGTAAATTGCTTAAGCATTTAACTTAACATATAAATTTCTAGATGCTTGATGGACAATCTGCTGAATTTTTCTGAGTATGAATAGCATTTATTTGAAATAATTTTAACATTATATTCTACAAATACAGCAACAGAAAGAGCACACATGTGCACTTATTTAACATCCTATGGAATGCCTACTAAATATGCAACATACTACTTATTACCTTTATGGGAAAACTAAATATCTGATACTTAGCTCTTATTCAATGAGCTTGAACATTCTGTATTTCTAGTTTTTGTCCTTCTTAAATAATTTAGATACATTCATAGAAAATTTAGTTGTAAGTATTTAAAATTTGATATTGCCTTCTAAACATGAGGCAAAAATTAGGACTATGATGCATGGATACCCAAAAACATTTACAGGACCCAGTAGAACTTAGAAATTATGATTCAATTAAATAGTTCACAAACTAAAGGTTGCTTAAACCAGTGTCAGAGCATGTATATGCTTGTAGGTATGCCGTAGTGCCCCAAATGGTTTTCTTCCATTTCTTGTTGTTAGAGCCATTTAGTGGGCCAGCTAATAAATGGATTGATTTACTTTGTACTAAAATGTTCACCATGAAGTACTCTACTTGTAAAGTTAGCATCCTGTCTGTGGAAACCGTAGTTGGACTAAGCCATGAGAGATATCCAAAATTCAAACTGATTTCATTTAAATATCTAGAAGAGTTGTGGCTCCAAGAAATAGAAGGGGTATGAAAAGAATGCAGATTCTCATCAAGTTCAGTGGTTTTTAGAGCTTGACCTGAAGAAATACAAAATCAAATCAAAGAATGTTGCAGTGTGGGAGAAGTTTGCTGACTTTCATAAGCAGACGGAATTGAAGAGTGATATGATCCAGTCCAAGGATGAGGTTGTTTTGCCAGATATTTCTGTAAGTTTTGATACCCACAACACAGCGACAGCTAGAGTCAGGAAGCACACTGACATCTGAAGCACCCATCTTAAATCCCAGTCAATAGCTTGCACAACAAGAAATGTCT